TCCTTGGATGTTCATTAAAAGATAATGTGCCTCATTAAAACATTACTAGGAAAAAACCCTGTGGAAAAAATCTTAGTGAAGGAGAAAGAGTACACATATTTATTAATACGCATTGCTAGCTGCCTCATTAAAAACCTTATAAGAAAAATCGTGTGGGAAAAAAGCTTAGTAACGAAAAAAGAGTACATCGCGTATTTTACTCCCCCTGATGAAAATCTTGTTTCAAATATTTAAGTCTCCGCATTTCAATCTTGTATACCATCTTCTCAAAAGTTGAAGTTGGTAAAGATTTAGTGAATAAATCTGTCAGATTGTCATTTGAACGGATTTGTTGCACATCAATATCACCATTTTTCTGAAGATCGTGTGTGTAGAATAATTTTGGTGAAATGTGATTCGTTCTATCTCCTTTTATAAATCCCCCCTTCAATTGGGCTATGCATGCAGGATTGTCTTCGTATAAAATTATGGGTCTTTTCTCATATTCCAAACCATATTTTTCTCGAATGAAATGAATTACTGATCTCAACCATACACATTTCCTACTTGCTTCATGAATATCTATTATCTCAGCATGATTTAAAGAAGTAGCAACAATAGATTGATTTGTGGAGCGCCATGATATAATAGTACCTCTACATATAAATACGTACCTGATTTGAGATCGAGCTTTATGGGGATTAGATAAATGGCCTGCATCTGCATAACCAACAAGATCTGCACTACCTTTGTTAGCATAAAACAAATCCATATCAAGAGTTCCCTTTAAATATCGCAATATATGCTTAATCCCATTCCAATGTCTCCGTGTAGGAGAAGAGTTATATCTTGCTAGTAAATTAACAGAAAATGCTATGTTAGGCCTTGTAGCATTAACAATATACATAAGTGCATCAATTGCACTAAGATAGGGTGTTTCAGGACCAAGGAGTTGCTCATCCTCTTCTGGAGGTCGGAGTGGGTCCTTATTCACTTCAAGTGATCGAACAATCATTGTTGTACTCAATGGGTGTGCTTTATCCATGTAAAAGCATTTTAAGACCCTTTATATATAGGCAGATTGACGGATAAAGATCCCTTCTGCTAAATGTTGAATTTGCAGACCAAAACAAAGTTTTATCTTTCCAAAATCTTTCATCTCAAATTCTTTCTTAAGATATTCAATTGCCTTTTGGAGCTCTTCTGGAGTTCCAACAAGATTTATGTCATCAACATAAACAGCAAGTATAACAAATTCTGATGCCATTTTCTTTATAAAAATACATGGACAAATAACATTATTTATGTAACCTTCTTTACCATATGCGCCCATATTACTTTAAACCGTACAAAGATCTTTGTAATCTGATTGAATACATTTTTCGAGATTTTGAATTTGCTTCAGGCATTTTAAATCCTTCAGGGATCTTCATATAGAATTAATCAAATGAGTCATATAGGTTATGACTTACATTTAAATGGCATGACATCTTCAGGTGTCTGGACTACAGGTCCGATCCTCACAATCTTTTACAATATTATGCACTATATTGTATCAAATATATTATCAACGATCATTTCGTATCAGTTCGCAATCGGCATAACTTGTTGAGATCTCATCACTTTCTTTATTTTCAGGTACCTGAACTTTTTTTGGAGTTTCATGTTATGTCATAGGCTCTTCCAGAGCTTATTTCCTCCTTATTATGATCATTTTGATCATTTGCTCCTATTATTTTCAAGGGTTGTTACCTTTGGAACCGATTGGTCTACCACGTTTCATGCGTACAGTAAACTCTATCCTTCAGGGACTTTAATTTTAATAGGAGCATTTACAGCTGAAATATGATATTTAATTTTGGATCAGCAAATGCTTCTGGCATTTGACTTGAATTATCTTCTAAACAAGGATCATATTAATGATAATTCGATTCATATAGCATATTTTTCAGCTGTTTTATTCCATCCCCCAAATGTTAGAAAAACTAACTCATATCCTCAATCTTCTTTGAAAAATCTATCTTTGTACATTGTGGTAGATAAATTAATCATATACCACACATCAAAAGTTATTAGATAGTAAAAATATTTGGTTTCTAATCCTAAACCAATTATGAGGGGAGGACTTATCATATTTTGTTAGTTTGATACATACAAGTGCTGTTATATGTAATTTAGAAAATCTTAGAGCAACACATGAGGCTTTGTTATCATAAGCAATAGTTTAGCCATTAATAAGAGGTATTCGATGCTAAACTAGCTTTGATATAAACCAACATCATCAAGATGAACTATCTTGATTTCATAATCTGAAAATTATGCTCTTAATTGAGAAAGACAATTTCAAATACCAAACTGCAAGTTGACAATAAACATACATGTAACCATCTTATATATGCATCTATAAATGGTTCACATGATAGGTGAATGGTCCCATATTCACCTTTTATATATTCCAGAATTCGGGGATTTTAGTCCCAACTTTAGCTGGTATAATCAAGTTATTATGAAAATAAGCAACACAAGAGAATTCTTGAAGAATATTCTAGTTCTTCAATATATGTTTATCTGAATTCTCAAATAGCTCATTTAAAAATGGCAAATGAAAACTTCAAGTTTATCATGGCATGTGCTATCTCTAAATAAACTTCTAGTTTACTATGGCATAATCTTTTGCATCAGTAAACTTCTGATTTACTGTGGCTACTTTTATTTTGGTAAATTTTTGATTTACTGTGACTGCTTTTGCATTAGTAAACTTCTGGTATATTGTGATACATGATGTAGTACAAGTTTGAAGAATAAGACAGGTATCTTCTCACATACATATTTACCCTATATGATTGTAGAAACATGAAGATTTTCAATCTTTCAATCATTTATAGTCTCAATATGATAGCCATTTGTATTAGTAAACTTCAGGTTTATTACAACATATGTTTTGACCATAATCATATAATATGAATGACATATTTGTATATAAGTTCTTCGAGAGCCTTCCTTTATTATCCACAATCTAATATTTACCAGACACTACTAGTGTCATGTGTCTTCTAGACAACAATTAGCTCTTCAGCAGTTGTTGATACATTTTGTACTATCAAATATTGCTTAGACAATTCTGGTATCATGAGAGAAAATCATAATCAAATGAACAATATAAAACTAATTCTAAATTTATAAATGACGAAAATTAAGAATTTTAATATTTCTACCACTAACTCTGTGACAAATATCTCCTTCAAGGAGAAATATCATTAACATCTGAATATTTTGTATCAATACAACAACCACATAGTCATTGCATCTTTTAAGGAAAGATACACGAGTTGTTATTTCCTTTGAGGAACTCAATAACTAACCATAATATATTAATGTGGTTGTAGTAGAAAGCATTCTACAAGAATACTTTTGCCTTAGAATGATACTTAATAAAATTATCCAAGATGTTTTAAGTACAACAGGTACGTGCGACAATGATCTTTATGCCACAAAAATAATATTTATATCATTTGTTATTCTAGCTCTTCCGGGGGTGAGTTGTGGTATTTCTTCATTCACTACAGGGAATGAAAATGTGCTTCAAAAATAACTTTGAATAGCTAATTATTTTATTTACGCACAGAAAGACACAATTTCATAATATTTTCCTGCTTCGGGAGAAAATTTCAATTGTGTTACTTCTTCAGGAGCAAATTAAAATACGAAAAATTGAGTATATATTCTCTCAATCATATTACCTCTTCTGGAGGTAAATTGTAATAAATTTATATCAAGAGCACATTCATATTTACGACTTTATTAATATTATCACATTTACTTAAGGGAATGGATTAATATTTATCAAAAATTCTCATCCTTCAGGAAATCGAATATAATTATCTGAAAGCGCATTAATCACATCAATTGTGATGCTTCAACCTCTTTTAAAATATTTACTACTTCAGGAGCAAATCGAGGCGTGCATGTAATATAGAGAATATTTCTCTAGCTTATCTTTAATTGTAACCACAGAAAGCCTAAATTATCACTTCTGGTGGTCATAGGCATATACCACTTCTGGTGGTTAACAAAATTTAGTTACAATGAGATATACGGAACATAACCACTTCTAGTGGTTGTATATTTCTTGCAAACTGTGCTGGAGTTTAAGTGGATTTAACAATGTTATCCACTTTGTAATTCTTTATTAAGATAATTAGGATGAAAATAAATACCAAAATAGGTATTATATACATAACATATAACCAAGCAAGCGATGATAATGATATTAAAATATAAGCAAAAGGCTCAAATTAAATTACGTAAATTTGGCCACACCAGATGTAAGTGATATCTATATCACTACTGCCAAGAAGAAAAACTCACCACCTCAAGGGTATAATCTGCCCTATGATGCTCGTTATGAACAAGATCTAACCACGGACATAAGAATGTCGCCTTACATCGGAGACGAACACTGAAATATAAATTAAATTCGAAGTAAGTGCTCAAAATGGCAGAGTCTCGTGCTGATAACGTGTTATAAAATAAAGACTATAAAAGAATTAAACTGAAGACAAGTATAGAGGGAGATTGATATTTTATTCAACTTTCAAAGTTATGTTCATAATGAACTAAAAACTCCTTTATTTATAGAAGAAAGGAAGCAGCTGCGAGGCTTTTCAGGAAGCAGCTACAAGGCTTTTCTTTAGGTGCTTGTAATGTGTTTGCGTGAGATGCTTGCAACCTGCCTGTTTAATAAGAAGATGCTGCAAATCATTTTATTGAGCTGCTTGCAACCTGCCTACATGAGCTTGAGATGCTTGCAACCTGACTGCATGAGCTGCTTGTAGATAAATTTAAACAGAGTACTAAATGAATAATTTTCTTCAGAAAAATTATATATAGCGGAGTAATAAATGGACATCCACAATATAATTATTTTCTTTTTATCATTTTATTGTAGTTCTAGTAGTAGTACTAGAATGGAAGCAAAAGAGTAAATTCCGAGTTAAAACTCAATAAAATACTAACAATTCGTTTTTCAGTGTTTCACCGTGTTCTTTTTCAGAAAGCAAAATCTTTTCCCCCAATTATTCTGTAGTGTTCCTCTCCGGCGCTCCGCAACAAAGGGTTTCCCCGTTGGAATCAGCCATTGCAAAGACTTAAGATCAAAACCGTGTCTTTCAAACAAGTGATCTTTTTTTGTCGAATAAGCTTCTTGCAGATTTGAAGGTGCGATGCCTTTTCCCCTACAATTTTTTCTATCTTCAAATATTGAAAAGTTAAACAATTGAAAGGAATTTATTAGTTTTATTGAAAAATCTCCAAAACCAGATTTCCTAATACTAATTCAAGAGAAAGTTTATTTTCCCTTTTCTTGTCTAGGTCTAATACTTGCCCCATGAAAATTGAAAATACAGTTGGAGTTTGTTATTTATGATAATTAAGCAAGGAGATAAATCCTTGTATTGTCAGGCAAATGCTGAGTAGTTAAGTTTATGGATTTAGTTTATCCAAGTTAGTGAAAGATCTGGGCTTTGATTCCTGATGCAGGAAGTTGAACTTTAATCATAATGGTGGCTCCATCTTCAGGCTCTACTTCGCTGAAGGACTACCTAAAAAAGTATGAAAGTAACAATGAAGAGGAAAAGAAGAAACAGAAGAAAAAGAAGAAGGTTAAACCTAATGTCAAAGGAGGTGTCGTTGTGGTCGACGAAGATCCTGTTTGGCAAAAGCCTGTAAAAATTGAAGATGAAGAGGATGAGTCAGCTGGTAATGTTACTTCAAAGGTTTGTTTTTTGTTGATGTTCTGCATCCTCGGATGTTGTTGTGTCTGTCGTTTATTAACTGTGTTCTTTTACAGACGAGGAGCTGCCTCAGGTAAATGAAGATATTGAAGTTAAGCGCATGAAAAGATTGGAGCAGCTTAGAGCTAGACGTCCATTTGGTTCCATTTCAGAAGATGGAAGTGGTTGGGTATCTCTATCAAGTACTTCTGATATTATCCCTTCTGATGACCAAATTGCTGATTTGTCCCCGCCACGGAAAAGACTTGGTCGAAATGATACACCCTCACCAGAACCTCAACTTAAGCAATCAAGTTCTGCAGCTGATTATTTATCACCGCCGCGTAAGCCAAGGGCTCGAAATGATACACCCTCTCCAGAAAGTGGGCGTAAGCGACCAAGAACTCAGGAGGGTGACCTGTCACCACCCCGCAAAGGTGAACCTCTGTTGAAGCCTTCAAGCGCAAGAGACGCTGATATGTCACCACCACGTAAACGGAGGGTTCGAAATGATACATCTGAACTTGAAATGAAGCCTTTGAGCACCAGAGATGCTGATATTTCACCACCGCGTAGACGAAGGGCCCGGAATGATTCACCTGAATCTGATGTGAAGTCTTTCAGCACTAGAAATACTGATATCTCACCCCCAAGGCGACGTAGGACTCGAAATGACACCCCTTCACCAGAAGCTAAAGCCAAGCCTTCTGCTGATTTGGCACCACCAAAACGGAGGCAAAAGTATGGCCAAAGTCCTCCAGATATGTCTGATATTTCTCCTCCTCGGCGAGGTTCCCGTGCATCAGACTCGGATCTTTCTCCCCGAAGGAAGGCACGTCCAGAAACATCTACTATGAAGCAGGAGCTAAAGACCGGTTTGGTTAGTGGCAAAGATATTAAAGAAGAAATTGCTAAGACAAAGAAGGAAGACTGGTTAAGGTAATTCTATTCTACTATTTCATGCAGCCTTATCATCTTTTCATTTTTTGCCTTTCTTCAGGGCAAGTTTGGAAGATTAGAGCAAGTAAAGTAATGTGTGAAGAGAGTGGCATCTTTTGTTTCCCTAGGAGGAAATTTTTTATGCTAAAAGTATCAAAGCTTTCCTGAACATGCACATCACTATCCCGCCTATATTGCTCGGATTTTTCAAAAATGCCGCCAGGTGCGTGTTGGATCCTTTAAAAGTTGTGCATTTTTGGAGGATCTGACACGGGTGCATCAACATTTGGAAGATCCGAGCAACAGAGAATTCCAATAATGCTTGATCCTTACTCTGGCTAATTCTAATTGCTGAATCTAATTTAAATATCTTTGTTATTTTAGGTTTAAAGAGATGGATCCGTTACTTAGTGGCCGAGGGGCTGAACCAGTATATCGGGATAAAATTACAGGTGCGTTAGAGCTAGAGAAATAATTGTTATAGTTATTAAATGTATTCTTTCATTTGGTCTCACTCTGTATCACTGCAGGGGAACGAATGTCAAAGGAAGAGTTCCTGAAGTCCAAGAAGAAGAAGCAAGAGAAGGAGAAGCCAAAGGTACTTTTATCCGACGTGTTTATTTACATGAACAAGTGGTCAACCTTGGAGCTAGTTTTTCCTTCATCACTACTTATCTTCTTGTAGAGCTGCAATATTTCCAGAATTCAGGGCAAATATTTCTTCTGATCTCTGCTTCTTACTCATGCCCATGTTACTGACTACAATCAACTATAAATCTCTTTTAATCCAGATATTTTAGGGATTGCTAGTGTATCAGGAACTTAAAAATTGGAGGTTTTTCACTTGGAGTAGTCAGTATGGGGTATTAATTGTGGTAGTCCTCCATCATATTTGTATATTTTCTCTTGTGGCCTGATTATAGAGTGAATAGAGAGGTCTGCTTCTTTTCTCACACTTTCTAATATTAATCAACTATGCCTAAAAAATTAGTCGAGATCAAATATATGAATCCCCTTTGCTGGTTCAGCTCTATTAAAATCCATTTCATTTTAATGCTAAATTTTGTTACTTTTAAGGCGAAATAGGAATTCTCCGAGACAGATGCTTTTTGAATGTCACACTTATGGCTACATGGACTACAATTCTCTAGCTAGAATAAAAATCATTCCTGACAAACGTCTTATACAAACATGGAGATTCTTGACGAAAAAAATGAACCTAAGTCCATGTGAAATCTGTGCCAACTAGTTGATATAAATCTTATGCTCCTATTATGTTTTATTTGTAATGAAATCTGTGCGTTGGTTTTGAGAGATTTCGTAAGTTTTTTGAGGAAACCCAAGTCCATGTGATATTAGCCTATTAGGTTTTCGTTTCGTATCACCTTAATTAATCTTATCTTGCATCAACATTATTAGTGCATGTTGAAGACATAATTAAACAAATAAAAACATTCCATCTATGACAATTTAAGTTTTTAGATGAGATGATCATCCTATTCAACATGGTATTAGAGTAGGCAGAGGTCTTGAATTCAGGTTTAACAGCCACTTATTTTCAAAAAAACTTTCACATGCTTGCTTGCGCGTTTGAGGGCATGTTGAAACATAATTAAATTAATAGAACTGTCCCCTCTATAACAACCTAAGCTTTTAGATAACATGATCATACTATTCAACAGTGTATATGGAGATCTACTTAGGATAAGGATAACTCATCTTAGGTGGCCTTTGCTTATTTCCCTCTTTTATTTTTCTTTCAAAAAATTTATGTCTGAAGAGAGATCTATTCTTATCTTGTCCAGCCTTGTGTGACTGCACATCTATCGTGCAATTTGTATATCTACTGCCAGTATTCGACTATTCGCTCTTATATAACATTATTGGTCTCACAACCATTCTTTTAAACTTGCCTTGCACTTTTCCTGCTCTATAAGTAGGACCATTCGTACGTTTTGGGACACTTGACTTGCTGAATAGCACTTTATGAATTGATTTCTTTCTATTTTTCTGTATTATTTTCTCCCGTTCTCTCTTCTTTCGCCACTCTTTAGGTGCTACATCACTTAGTTTTTTCATGACCATCAGTCACTGCAGCCCTCCTTTTCCTTTATTCGGGATTACTTAGAACTGGCTATATTTGTGAAGCACAGTTACCTGCTACTTGTTAAGCTTTTGTGAATTTTCTTTTTCAAGTGATTTTTTTTCATCTTTGTATCAGGAAATAAAACTGGAATGGGGGAAGGGATTGGCTCAAAAGCGTGAGTTGGAGGCTAGGCTTCAGGAACTAGAAAGCGAGAAGGAAAAGCCATTTGCACGGAGCAGGTATTATAATTGCTAGATATTCATTGTTGTTGTTTCTTTATGATCCATTAATGTGTCTGAAAGATATGAACTTGAGATGATATATATCTTGCCTTTGCACTTTCTGCAGTAGCAATATAACTATCAACTTATGCTCATGAGTTCTTTAAAGCTTTTGAGGCTTCTTTCTCGGTTTTACCAAACACAAACTGTATAGAGCAAGAAAATCGATTGTTGAACTTTTAATTGTAATTTGAAGATTGGGCATACTACATGCTTTTAGTAACCTTGCCCGTTGATTATTACGAATTTTGAGGACTTAAATATTTTATTGCTGGCTGAGATGTGTTTACTTGCATGATTTTCATATTTTGTGAGGCTTCTTTAGATAAGTCCTGAGTTCATATAAAGCTAGCTCACCATTAGGAAGCATCTTATTTAAGTTCTATAGGGTTGGCCGAGGCACTAATACATCCTCGATTTGCTCAATCTGCAGCCTTTTGAACACCATAGTTGGTGATATATTCCTGAGAAACCACCTATTATTTAACAGATCTGTCTCCTTTGGTTTTTTTGTGCAAAATACTACGCCTCAATTCCAAAAGTAGTAGGGATTGATTATATGAATTCTTTGTATTTATTCAATTCCTTTTGAGATCATTTCATTTTCTGTACTCAATAATTTCTTTTTTAGACACATTAGGGTTTGCCTAAAATTGTGAATTCACTTATCCTTTCATAGACATACAAATTTTTAACCAAACTGAATGGACTCTTAATAAACACTAGACTTGATGTAAGTGTACCAACAACTAAACCTTTATCCCAGCTAGTTGGTATCCCCCACATGGATATTTTGTCTCTAGTGTTTTGTTCTTTGCTAACGTTGCATGAAATCCAAGAGATTGTAGGTCTATTGAAACTACTTCCTTTCCCGAAGTTTTAGGTTTATCTTGTCTCCTTTAAACACCTGTAATCATCATAGTGTCACGCTACCCGATTGATGCTTTTAGAGGTTTCTTCACTAGACTTAATTATACCATCTCGAGTGACCTCTTGTATTATCTTCCAGTTGTACCATTCACGACTTTATTAAATGGGAGTATTTCAAATAGTTTTTGAGAAATGGTAAGTGTTATTATAAATAAATGAAAGCACCAAGAAGGTGCTGTCAAAAGAATCTACAATCTGCCCAAAAGAAAAGAAAGGAATAGAAAAAAAAATCCCTTATACATTCTTAAAAGGAATCATCAAGATCTGTAACAGCTTCAGCATCACTAACAATGGTCTGTTTGCACCAAAAATAAAACACAAGTAAACAGTCCATTTTGATCTTCTGAATGGAGTTTCCTTTATTTTAAAGCATCTAGCATTTCGCTCCCTCCACACTGTCCACCATATACAAGCCGGGATAATTTGCCACCATTTCTTCTGATTTGTATTCCTTCCTCTAATATTCCAACATTTCAAAAACTGACTTGTCTATTTTATAGTCCATTTCAGCCCCACCATATTCAAAAATAGTTGCCTTAGCTGATCCGTTAAGTGACAGTAAAGATATAAATGATTGATGCTCTCAGGTTTGTCCAGCCATAGCTGTATCATTTTGAGCAAAGTTGAAATTGCCGTCTTAGGAGGTTGTTCTGTGTTAGGCAAGCCTCTCTAGCTACTAACCAAGTGAACTCTGCAACCTTGTACGCTGCATTGCTGTCCACCAGAATTCAACAATAAATACAAGAATTTACAGTAAAATTCGCCTTACTATTGCCTTTACATACAAGTCTATCTTGACTATTGCCAAACATTCAAAAGAGTCCAATACACCCAAATAAGGAAGTCTTCCTATTTCCCGATCATTCAGGTGTCTCCTAAATTGAATCCAACCTTCAAGTTGTTTTGATGGAACCTCAACTCCAATTTACACTCAGAAAGCTAGATGCTTAGTTAGTTTGTTCAGTTGGAACTTTCACTATCCTTTAAACAGTACAACAACATACCCAGTATTACCCCACATCGTGGGGTTTGTGGAGGGTAGTGTGTACGCAGATCTTCCCCTACCTTGTGAAGGTAGAGATGCTGTTTCCAATAGACTCTCGGCTCAGAAAAATATAGGCACCACATTAATCAAAAAGATAGACAATGAGGGACAACACCAAAAAGCCATGTAAAAGTAGCAAAAAAACAACACGATAATAAGATGATCAAAATGAAAGAAAATGACGGGTATTCATAAACCTACTACCAACAGAATGCAAGAGTGCGTACTAATCCTATTGGTATGAACAATGTACCACCTAGCCTACTGCCCTAATCTTCGACCTCCACACCTTCCTATCGACGGTCATGTCCTCGGTCAGCTGAAGCTGCGTCATGTCTTGCTTAATCACCTTTCCCTACTTCTTCTTCGGCCTACCTCTACCTCTCCGTAGGCCCTCTAATGTCAACCTCTCACACCTCCTCACCGGGGCATCTGTGCTCCTCCTCCTCCTCACATGTCCAAACCACCTAAGCCTCGCTTCCCACATCTTGTCGTCAATGGGGGCCACACCTATCTTGTCGCAAATAACCTCATTCTTGATCCTATCTAACCTGGTGTGCCCGCACATTCATCTTAACATACTCATCTCTGCTACCTTCATATTCTGGATATGTGCAATCTTGACAGGCCAACACTCAGCCCCATATAACATAGTCGGTCTGACCACCACTCTGTAGAACTATCCAGTAAACAATGTTGATAATTTTTTGAATTTTGTTAGCTCCCCGGTTTTAGCATAAATTGTATAGGAGCTAGCATTTACTGTTTGACAGGTTTCTTCTTTTTACCAGCTAGCTCCCTGTCTTGGAGCTAGTCTTTTGTTCTCTCTGTAATTCTGCATCTTCTTGATGCCTTACTAATGCAATTTACTTCATAAAAAAAAATAACAAAAAAAAAATTCCAACCTTCAAGTTCTCTGGTGTTGGCCAACTTTTAATCCGGTAGCAGTGAGCCTAAATAGATCTGGCAATAGGTCTTTAGGGGAGAATGATTTATCCAGTTGTCTTCCCAAAAGGCAATCCTTCTTCCATCTCCCTCTTCAAAACCAATGTGGCACATGAATTTCTGCCGAAGAGCTTCTAATGTTTTTTCATAAACCTCACTCCGCGAGAGGAAGTCACTGGTGTTGATGTCCAGCATTCCTGTGAACCAAACTTTTCGCTGATAACCCGCTTCCATAGTGATTGCTCTTGAGCAGCAAATCTCTATAGCCATTTCGTCATTTAACTGCAGTTGTGATGTCTCAAATTTCTAATAACAAGGCCTTCTTCCTTCTCACTTTGTGTTAATATACTTCATTTAACCAAAGGATAAGATCTTATTTCTTTGTTACCCTGCCATAAAAAGTCTCCTCACAGTCAGTATCACTCTTTGATGTTGAAGTTGTTCCAGTGTGGCATCACACATCACAAGCGTGTCATTTGCATACATAAGATGAGAGATTTCCAGTCTGCTGTGTCCACTGTTGTCCATCCTGAAACCCCTAATGCATTTATTCCTGAAACCCCTAATGCATTCATTCTGTTTAGCGATCTTTAACATGTGTGTCTATTGGAAACAACTTCTCTACCTCCCAGTGTAGGGATAGCGGTAAGGTCTGCGTACACACTACCCTCCCCAGACCCCATGTGGGACTTCACTAGGTCTGTTGTTGTTGTTGATCTTTAACATGTGACTGAAACATTCCATGGCCATGATAAAAAGAAAAGGAGACAGAGGATCACCTTACCTCCCAGTGTAGGGATAGGGGTAAGGTCTGCGTACACACTACCCTCCCCAGACCCCACTTGTGGGACTTCACTAGGTCTGTCGTTGTTGTTGATCTTTAACATGTGACTGAAACATTCCATGGCCATGATAAAAAGAAAAGCAGACAGAGGATCACCTTGTCTCCACCTCTTTGAGAAGGGAAAATACCTACTGGAGTTCCATTTACCAAGAGAGATTATCTGATAGTGTTGATGCAGTAAAAGAGCCAGCTCCTCCATTTCCTTCTGAACCCCATTTCTTTTAGAACATTGAGGATAAAATTCCAATTCACATAGTCGTATGCTTTCTCAGTGTCCAATTTGCAAAGAACACCAGGTTTATTTTCCTTCGTTCTTCTGTCTACACTTCTATTAGCAATAATAACTGCATCAATAGTCTGCCTGTTTTTCCAAAAGCCATCCATGGGTTATCTACCAGCTTATGAACCACCAGCTTGAGTCTTTCTGTCAGTACTCTGGCAAGTATCTTGTAACAGCCTCCAATGAGGCTAATAGGGCTGAAATCTCTTAGCTGCACTGCCCCTGGCTTCTTTGGGATTAAAGCAATGTAGGTAGAGTTGAGACTTTTTTCAAATCTCTCCTGTCTGTAAAACAAATTCACAGCATTCACGACATCTTCCTTGGTTATCATCCACATTATTATGACACTCATCTTGTGGATATGTTGGGTTTTAGAGGCCCAAAATTCATTCACAATTAATATTGCTACTCACATACTTTCTTCTTGGTAAGTATCCTCCTGTCACATAACCCGGTAGCACTCTTCCACTTTAGCCATCACTTGATAATTTTGTCTGTTACATCTTTGTCTATCGTGCTATTCTATTGTAAGATTTTAGTCTATTTATTCGAATCATTTGCGTTTTAGGCACTTCAAAATCGTCTAACTTCACCTTAGTTTCATTCTTACTAATGTGGCTAAACTTATATTGAAAATAATTTTCTTACTTATTTTAAACTCTTGCTTTCTAGAGTGTTTCTCCTAGTTCAAGTGGTTGGTTGATAGTCTATTTGTACGTGTTTAATTTTTGCCTCGCAGAGATGATCCAGAACTAGACAGTATGCTGAAGGAAAGAGTTCGATGGGGTGACCCAATGGCACATTTGGTTAAGGTGATTTTTTATTCTGACCACTTTCTTTTTGCAGGCATCTACTCTATCTGTGCTGGGGTGGATGATTGCCAGTTACTGGATTTTGTGTTTTTCATGATGTGAGTGGTTCCCTTTAGCTCCTTCTGTCTCTCTAAATATGGTTACATTCTTGGATGTTGCAGAAAAAGCAATTAGAACCAAATCTGCCGGATTTTGGGGCTAATGACAAAATGAAGGACTCAGGTTTTATAATCCCTCAGGAAATACCTTCTCACAGTTGGATAAAAAGAGGATTGGATGCGGCACCCAATCGTTATGGTATAAGACCAGGGCGACACTGGGATGGGGTTGACCGAAGTACAGGTATAGGATCTCTCTCATTTCTTCTGTAATAAGATGGTCTTCACTGGTCCTTATTAAAGAAGATGGTCTTAACTGTTGTCAGTTCTATTTTATTTTTTGAATTTTTTCACTTGATAGATAAAGAGCTGATTTAAGCTACTTATCTTCTTTCCTCTTTGGCGAATATTGGTGACTTCAATGTTGATTCTCTTCTAACAGGATATGAGAAGCAGTTGTTCAAGAGGACCAATGAGAAACAAGCAACTGAAAGGGAAGCATATCTATGGTCTGTGTCCGACATGTGATTTGTTCCAGTATGTTTATGTACAGACAGACAACATGAGCAGTAGGAATTTCCGACTTCCTTGCTGAGTATTTTGATTCCCACAAATTGCCTCCATGACGAGTTTGTTTCGATTTGCGGAAATTTCTTAGCTTTAACATGGTGCCATCAGTTTTGAATAGTAGGAATCTAGTCGTTGACTAATTTGATCGCATGTTGCAGTAACATTTTGTTTTCCAAACACACGCCATTGAGGAATCTTCCTTCCCATACTGTGGATTCTGAGTTGCATCATTTTCGTTGTCTCAACGATTGTCACGGCTGATGATCATGAAGTAAAAAACGTAAAAGATATGCTTGTAATTTTCTGGATGTTGTATAAGATTGTAATGAAGGCAAAACAAAAGACAATAGAAGGATGTAATGCTGGGTTTGTTGTAGAAGGAATTGGAAAGGAAAATTGTAAGTGTGGAAACTTTTGCAATCTATTTATGAAAATGGAATGAGATCCCCGGTCTCCTATTATCTTTCAAGATACCGTTCTAGTATTATTGATTTATTGATATAAACATTTATTATGAAGAATATTTCGCGAGTTAACGAGATGCAAATCTTTCTGTAGAAGAAAGATTAAAGCCTTCTCGTTTAAGATACAAGGTGTAAACGCCTAAATTGTATGCGTAGCAAAAGTTTAATCATGGAAAACAAAAAATAGTTTTACTTGGCTTGCATTTGGATCAAACAGGATTTTGAGTTGCAGTTCAGGTACAGGATTCAAATTGCAAAGAGAACCCTTCTAAATCATACCAAACAAAACAGGATTAGTTTTTTTCCCATTGGTAGATGCACGCAATTGTTTATTCTGTGTGCAATACTAATAAGTGCATCTCTTAGTACATGCTATTTATTGCTTTTACTTTTGGATTTTTTCCCACACAATCGAAGCAACAATATCGACAGGTACTTGGCAACAGAGAAATGTTGCAAACTATTCAAGGGAATACGGGCAGCAAGACTTTTATTCTTTCTGTTGTGCAAACTAGACCGAGACTATATTACCGCTATTGAGTGTGGTGAAATGAATGAGATCTCTTCACCTTTAACTAGATGTTTGGAGTTCGAGACCTTGGAATGTAGAAACTCCTATTATAAAGAGCACTTTTCCCTTAAATGGATCCTATGTAATGTGAATCTAAGATTAGTTGGGATAATGAGTTTCGGATACCAAATGATTATTATAAAACAAAAAGTAAGCAGAGGCTATAATTGCAAAGCTTTTCAAGAAGAGACATAATATAAAAGTGGACTCAAAATGAGGCTATTTGTGCAATTCAACCAATAGGCAGGCGAAGCTTCTGGTAGCTTTCCGGGAAGAAGGGGTGCTTTTGAGTTTCTGTTGGCGTGAAACAGCTGTAAGAAGCCTATTGGTTATCTATCGTCACTTTTTTTCTTTCTGTTTAAGTAATTTTTTTTTTTCTGGACTAATTAAGTTTTCTCCGCACATATAAATACGGATCTCGTAGCGCGCAATTGTTAATTTATTATTGAATTCACAATGTCATCTCCGGCCGAGTAAGTCACACCCCTCTTCCCCTCTTTCTCTTCTTACGTTTTCCTACATACAAACCGAATTAGTTTTTATTATGTATATTGTGATGCTGAATTACCATTATTTTGTTTATCAAACACTTCAAATTTCAACTGAAGTAAAATTATAGTCCTTGGAAATTGAACACTCTGCTTAAAAGTAGTTAATTGTAGGTGGTATAAAAATTTCTATTAAAAAGTGTAATCCTCACCACAGAGCAGCTTTTGCGATTTGCGAAGGTTTAATCATAATAAGTGCCAAGGTTTAATCATAATCAGTGCGAAGGTTTAATAATAATGAATGACACTTTTTGCGTGAAGAATGTGGTAGCACTATGCTGTAAATAAGGAAAAATTTGTCAATCTTAGCATGCTCTCTATATACATTGTTCTGAAAATATTGCATATTTGCCGTGTTTTTCATAATTTTCGCTCTTCCCAATCTTCGTTTAAGTTTAATTAATCTTCATCCTTGACTTCTTTTCAAGAAATTGGTCTAGTAGAGCTACTGATAGGCTTAAGTATAGTATATATAAAAGGAAGAAATAGTTTGGAATTGATACACTTATATTTGGAAAACACTTGATTGGATCAAAGCACTTATTTGGAAACATTCGATGGCGGAGCCACATAGCTCCAAGGTGTGTCAATTGACATTACTTCGTCAGAAAATTACACTGGTTAGATAGGTAAAAATTATTTTTTATGTATATATACTATGTGTTGAATCCCCTTAACTTCTTCATATATTTACTTCTTTGATACCCCTTAAAAGCCCTTAGCTCAGCTACTGACTGCTGATGCAAACTTTGGAATCATTCTCGGTTCTCATTTTATCTCATTTTGGCCAATTCTATCCTATATCGTGGTCCTTTATTTGATGCTTCTCTTTATACTTTTTTTTTCTCTCTGACGTTATGTGTTCTACAACAAGTTATTGTTTTCTCATTCCAGATTTTATAAGTCACTTCCACCTATAAGCAAGGCTTATGGGACTGCTTGTCTCTTGCTTACAACTGCATGTCAATTGGGATTATGCCATCCTGTTCATATAGCACTATTATATGAGCCCCTGATCTCTCATTTTCAGGTAAGCATCCTTCTATCAGTTTAATCTGATTTCATATTACTCTGTAGTTAGCATTTTTCACAACACTAATAAGACCATATAGTGTATCTTACAAACTACTGACATGTCTAGATGTGAAACGTGCTCTCCCACCCGAAAAGCGAAGAAGAAAAACGAAAGAGAAAGAGCAGGGTTGGGGGGGGGGGGGATGCAATCCATCTGCTGTGGTTGGACAATTTTTTTGTTTTACAATAAGACCCAGAGATTATCCCTACCTTTGGTAGCTTATGAGTTTACGCCAATCCCTGGTCAGCTGCAATTTTCCTTCACTTTGGCCTGCGAGAATACCACTGATTAGATGGGCATGGATTTGAACCGTATGTTGATAAAATCAGTACCTTTTACCTAAAGGAGTGTCCTAGTGGTTAATAAAGTGAGATGAAAACCATAGGAGATTTGAGCTCAAATTCCCGCCGACACAAAAAACACTCTAAGCCTTGGTAGGTAGGTTACCCAATGCCTATACTAGTTGGAGATAGCAGGTACTCGGTCGAATGGTGAAGGTGCGTGCTAGTTTCCGTAGACATCCAATAGCTTATGGGAATAATAGGTGTATGTACTATTTGTCCACCCAATAGCTTGAGGGACTGATCAAGAAATACATTCTCCATTATTTCTCTCGCGTATTTCTTCATTTCTCAAGTTCTTTTATGTTATTTTCAAAAAGTTAAGTTATTAACTACTTCTCTGGGTTATGCCTAAGACTATTGAATTTTATGTAATTTCGAATAACCATTACTCTGACATGGCATAACAAAGTAAAGTGAGGGGGATTTTTATTTATTAAAGAGGAAATGAGGCTTGAATTGTTGAGTTGCATGCAGTTGAAAACGACTATTCAATTATGTAATTTCGACTAACCTTTGCTCTGACATGGCACAGCAAAATGTTGCATGCAGTTGAATCTATGCATTGATAACCACTTCTCTTCCCTGTGGCAACCTACTTTATTGAGTAGTTCTGTATCTGCCTTTGTGTCTTCTTTCGTATAAGTTGGATAGATCCAGAACCGTAGGTAGCAGGAGCTTTCATTTCATTTTGAAGCGAGAATACGAAATAGGCTGTGCGTCAAACTGCAATAATTATTTGAAGCTAACGGTGTTAGATATTCATCATTTATCCGTCAAATGAAGAAAAGGATAAAATAGTCTTCTGGAATTCTGAGTATTTCGTCAATGAATTCAAGTTACATCTATAGAAACTATTTGGGGTTAAACTTTTACTTTTCTTTTAATAACAGATGCTGATATAAATTAGTTTCATTGGTTTAACCTATGTTTAGCATTCTGTTTGACCTATGTTTGATGATAATGGAGACAACTGGGAGAAATTATTTTTAAAGACCAAACAAAAAGGGAAAAGGTTGATTTTGCACAATATCAGGAATAACTCAAAATGGTTTTTATGATTACAAACAATGTCTCAGAAAATACCCATTTTTTTGTACTTCATGTTGATCAATGCAGCTATTAAAAGTCTTGAGATATTGCAATGTTATTGTCACTTTAATAGAGGTGACATTGTTTATCATGTCGTATTAGATATGTGTTAATTTGCTCTTAGAGGTACTTCTGAATATTTATTAGATTTTAATTTATCAAAGAAGATTTTATGTATGAGATTGGATGTTGCATTTGTTTCAGGTCTGGCGATTGATTACAAATTTCCTCTTTCTGGGAAACTTTTCTATTAATTTTGGAATTCGCCTCTTAATGATGTAAGTACTTATGAGTAGTATAGTAGTATGCTTCGAAATCTAATATGTTTTCAGTCATTTTCCACAGTAGCTATTAAAAGCATGGTAGGGAGTTCTTGGAGGGAGGGAGCCGAGGGTCTATCGGAAACAACCTCTCTACCCCAGGGTAGGGGTAAGGTCTGCGTACACCTACCCTCCCCAGACCCCACTAGTGGGATTATACTGGGTTGTTGTTGTTGTTGTTGTTGTTGTTGTTGTTGTTAGCTATTAAAAGCATGGAAGTAGCTGTGGTTATTTATTTAATGACTTATTATGACTGTTGCTTCATGATGTTATAGAGCGAGATATGGGGTGCAACTGGAAAATGGACCATTTCAAAGACGTACTGCAGATTTTCTATGGATGATGATATTTGGAGCTTTCACATTATTGGTATGTCCGATGTTGACAATCATTTGAAGATTGAATATCTAGGACTTTAGCTCCTGTAGTATTTGCCTTTAGTTGTCATCCCATACTTCTGTCCTTTGTTCAATTTTCACTGAAGATTTTGTTTGATGTCTTTGATTTGCACCTACACCCAATCTTTCATCTTTAATACATTCTTTTCCCTCTCGTGCTTAGGTCTTATCCGCAATCCCCTTCTTCAGTTCTCCGTTCTTGGGCATATCGCTGGTTTTCATGCTTCTATATGTCTGGAGTAGAGAATTTCCAGATGCCAATATCAACATTTATGGTCTTGTAACTCTGAAGGTATGGTTCTGCATTTTTTAGTTAGGTAGTATTCAAGTCCCGCTTATCAGGTTTTTTTGGGTTCTTATCTTAATTGTCCATTGGTAATTTCCCTATTTCCAACTTTCAGGCATTCTATTTGCCATGGGCCATGCTCTGTTTAGATGTTATTTTTGGTTCATCAATCATGCCAGACCTGCTGGGGATCATTGCTGGACATCTGTATTACTTCTTAACCGTATTGCATCCACTTGCCACTGGGAGGAACTTTTTGAAGACGCCAATGTGGGTGTATCCTTTTGATTGCAGTTGATTCTTTTTATATGATACTGTGCTGCTGCTGTTCTGTTATGCCCCTTACTATTCTATATTTATTTGATTTCTACCAAGAGAATCATAGTAAAGAGAGGGGGAAG